AGCCGCTGCCATGACCGTGTCCATGTCCGTGCTGCTCGGTGGCCACCTGATGATGATCGTAGAGCTTCTCGCGCTGGACATGGGCCTGGAAGCCGTTGTGCTTGTCAGCAGTATAGTGGACAGTGCGCTTGTGTCCGTCGGCGTCTATCAACTCATAGTGTCCGGTAACCTTATGGCCGTGACGTGATTCACTGTGCCCCTTCACATCGCCCGTTTTGTGATCCTTGACGCCGTAGTTGAAGTCGTATTCGGCATGCGAATCATGATGATCGTCGTGATGAGCCTCCTCATGATGTCCCTGATGATCGTCATGCGATGTCAAATGCACCGAGGCATGACTCGAGGCACCACCCTGATGGTGCTCGTGACCGTGAAAAGGAGCTGCCCGAATGGCCGCAAGGCCCAACAGGACAACAACAATGAAAAACTAAAAAAGGAACTCGAATTAGGGATTAAAGCTGATGAAAACCACCACAGTATGGTCTCTTACCGTCTGGGCCATGGTACTTTAGCTAGTTTATGAGTTGATCTAAGCTAGAGACTACTGTTGTCCGAACACCAAACCAAAGTGAACTGTACTAAAATCCAGTGATAGTTGGTGCTTTTATACCCTGCCCGTCTGGGGAGCGTAAAAGTGTTTGTAACTTTCGAAAAAAAAACCTACAACTAAATCGGTCTTTAGTTACGCCCCAAATTTGAGCTGCAGTTCAAGTTCAGGCCGATTGCTTTTCTTTTTGCGCCCCGGCGTGGCCTGCAATTATATCTGACGGTCGACCCTAAAAGAAAAAAAAAAAAGGGAAAGAAAGAATGCCCAATGTAGTAATTCATTGTAAAATTTACTGTCGCAACAATTGCCAATTTAAAGTGGCATTGTTTATGCATCGCATCGCTGTCGTTGTCGGGCATTATAATCCCCCTTTTGGCTGGCTTTGGGGATTGCGGATGAGGATGAGGATGGGTTATCCACATCCAAGAACAGCCAACAAACGAGCCAAAAGATTTATATGCCTGACAAACGTCGTTGAGTCGTTGACGTCAATCAGGCCTGACAAAAAGTCATCAGAATTGCAGTTTGCAGTTCTCTGTCTCTCCTGTCTCTCCTGTCTCTCTCTCTACCCCCCCTGAAGCTTGTCTTCTTTTTGGCCAGATCACCAGATCGCCGTCTTCTTTATTCTCCTTGATCCCGATCCTCATGGAGCTACCGTCTGTTGTCAGTCCTTCTGTCTGCCTGTCAGTAGTCAATCGGCTACCGGTCTGTCAATGTCGTGTCGCCTTCATCAAAGGCCGCTTTCAACTTGACAATGGGATGGATATTCGTTCTGTTTGTGTAAGGATTTGTGAAAGTGGATATAGAATCCAAAAAGGGGAGCTGAAAGCAATTTTATTCTGGTTTTTTTGTCCGTATAATTTGCATTTGATGCGTGAATTAGCTGAAAATCTGATAATTGGTTGATGAGAATTTCCCACAGGAATGAAAAATTATTCACGATATATGTATGTATATTATATATATTTTTGAGACAAGTAATGACCATAAATTTTAATTTTTTTAAGACTAGATTTCGAGTTGTCTTTAAATTTTGTTTAAAATTTATATTTTCTTTGATCTGGTTCCTTTGAGAGGTCTAAAAATAGTTATATCCATTCATTTATGCATCCTCTAAGCTGTCCTTTGTTCAAATATTATGGCTAAAATTCTACCACAAGAAGGTCGGTCTAATTGATTCTTATTATGGTAGTAGGCCTTTGCTTTATGCATTTATAAGTCGATCCGATGTCTCATCACTTCTGGCATCCTATGTACCGGGTGCCGACTGTCGCTGGTCAGTATACGGCTACGGCTCTGTGGCTCTGTGGCTCTGTTGTCAGTCAAAGAGGACTCGGCGGAGGGCTGGCTGCGAAACGCAACTTTCGTGGTTGCTTGGTTCGTTGGGTTTCGTTGTCAGTGTCATTTCTGGCTGCGTTTTGTGGGCACATTTCGGCTGCTTGATTACTCATGTCAATCAGGCTTCCAAACAGCGACGACATGCTGTCAATCTTTGTGTCATGGCCGCTGAAGTTGTTGGTTGGCTGGAAGGATGGATCCGATGGATGGCTGGTCGGTTGCCGGTTGCCGGCTGCCGGTTGTTGTTGTTGGTTGGACAACAAGTACGCTTGATTGCCGTGGCCCAAAAGGCATAGCCCCAGGCAGAGATAGGGGCAAAAGGCAAAGGAATACAAAAAAAAAAAAAAAAACAGAGAACTGATGATGCCACAAAGGTGCTCTCAGTGGCTGTGGCAGTGGCAGTGGCAGGGTAAATGGCAGTGACAGTGACAGTCGCAGTAGCAGTAGCAGTAGCAGTACTTGATGTTGTTGCTGCTGCTGTTGCCATTCGATTGATGTGCATTGTATGTAAATTGGGCGGTCGTTTTCGCATTTGATGCCCTGTCAAGGGATAATCAACAGCAGAAGAAGCAGCAGCAGGAGCAGCAGGAGCAGCAGTCCCGACATCATAGGGACAGCTTTAACATCGACTTGCAACTCATTATACAAGACTGAATGAAGCATATAAAATTGTCCCTTACTCGGTTCTATAACGAGCTCAAGAAATACGATCGCAATGTTTCGATAATTTTTCCCTTCAGCACCATCTCATGCCATAAATATCCACCTATGCTTGACATTTTGCTTGGCCGTGCCTCGTCCTCCTGCCGAAAATTGAAAACGACAATATTCGTTTGACAGGACCCCGTCAACTGTCAGATCCAAGCGAAACATAAACTGCCACAGACATCCGCAATCGTCGATGGAATGAGGGTGTGGGAACACTGGTCACATCCTTCGAGGGAATGTACTATCATTATGCAGCTGCTTAAGTTTCAGCAGAAGATTTATAGCTAATTAATTGTGAGTATTTCGAAATGAATAAAATATGTAATTGTGGAACTTTTGAATTTATAAATCCTTATAAATACAATATTTGAATCTAAAATATATAAAAATATACTCCCTACTAGTGAGTACGAATGTGGACCAGTGTAATTTTTATTTTTGGTTCCGAAGTCGATCTCTTACTCCCTAACTCTCTTCGTCTAATACCCTTCTATCCCAAGCGATATATCGATACTCATCAGCTGGTTAAAGGGCTGCCAACCCTACAGCCCAATATTTATTCCATTAAAATTAAAAAAAAAAGTTCAAACTTTTAAAGATTTCCTGGGTGGCATTTCAATTATTTACTTCATTTATTTAAATCATTTCTGGCTTTCATTTTGATTTCGTTTTCTCTTGATTTTTCGAATTAAAAAACTACCAGATTTATTATAAATTATCTTAGCATTGCCAGATTGTGGTTTGGAATGGTTATAGCCATATGACTTTAGGCTTTGCCACAGACAAAACCCAAAATTAGTGCTCTTACACAGCCAGACAGTCAGGAATATTGGATCTAAAGGATCTATAGGATCCCAGGACAACTAGAAAGCCAAGCTGACGTATCCCTCGCTCTCACTGCATGATTTTCCCGTAGGGCTATCGCTATATGCTATAGTTAGCATACTCTCTTTCCCTCTCACATTCTGTCTTTCTGCAAACGAGGCAAAGGCCAAGAATAACGGCCACAAAAGTCTTACGACGCGATAAAAAATGTATGGCACTCGACGAAATAGTTTCTGCAAGTAAATTCTTGATAAATGATGGATGGTATTTCTTCCACGATTGTAGGAGCATAGGCCACATTTTTTTTATCAAGATAATCGAATGAAATGAAGCTCTAATACTCCAGTGAATTTGCCCCAAAGTGCTGTGGGAGCAGTTTAAAAAAATAATAAATTTAAAGTGGTTTTTAGTTGTTTTCTTTTTGGTTGGATTTCCTATAGGGAATTGATTTTTTGGGGGCTAAACAAATATAATATTTCTATGGCTTGTTTAGTTCGAATCACACTCGGATACCGATCGCATCGAAAATGTCGTGGAATATAGTTTGGATATTTGTTATACTCTTGGCAATAAGTTCGTTTAGTGATCAAAAGATTTTGGAAAACATCAGAGAGGATTACTGTGAAATATACTGTAAAGATGAGTGCAAAAACATTAACAGTGACAGAACGTGCTACAAAAATGGATCATCTTTCATTACAAACGATTATACATTGAAGTTACAAGATGGACTTATGAAAATCATTCGGGTGAATAATGACATCAAAGAGTGGAATATTGCCGCAGTTTCCCATGAAATTAATGTCCAATTGGAGGAGTTATATGTCTTCAGACCTCATCATAGCTCCACACTTCGTCCTGGAGTATATTATCTCAGAGGTCTTGGTGTACAAGAAGCATCGACATATTTTTTAACTGGGAGCGATTTTAGTGTAAATGAGAAAAATCTCAATTATTTAAATGGCTCAACAGAATTAAAGATTTGTGTTGAAAGATTTATAGATTTAATTAACGAATACATTAAGATGAGCCTGAATCATCTCAAGAAGATTCGTATTGAATATAATCCAGAAGATCAGAATATATCACTAAATGAAACTATCAAAAACAGAAACAGAATATTCTGGTTAAACGAAAATACTTTTGCAGGAAAAATAAATTTAGAATGGCTTATCTTTGACGGTATGGATATTAGAAACCTTACCCCAAATGTTTTCACCGACTTGAAAAACTTAATGTTATTAGAGTTCCAAAATGTCGTTCTAGAGGATTTCTCATTCTTAAGGTTCGTATGATCTACAGTTTGGAAAATTATTCAAAGTAATTGCTACTGTTTCATGAACATCAGGAAATGTTGTTTTCCATTTCGAAAAGTCATTTGTTTTATTTTTTTTTATTTTAGGTCTGAGACTCTTCAAAAGAACTTAGGAATAATTGATCTGAATGTCAGTCAACCGATTGATATGAAATATTTTGAGGGTTACTCCAACTTAAATTACATTTCTGCTAATGAATACAAACCCTATAAGAATCTGACAGCCATCATTTGCTGTAGAAAGTATCGTAATCACTGCAAGTTCATTGTCGGAATCAACGGAGAAAAGTGTCCTGATAAATGCATATGTGCATACTATTGGAATCCTTCTATTTTCGATATAATTTGTTCAAGAACGAAAATTCCACCATTGCCCATTCCGATTATTGGAAATACGAGTCTAAACTTCTGTGGAAATGATCTAGAGGAGCTCCCAAAAAACACATTAAGTGGATATAATGACATACAAAAATTAAATGTATCCGATGATGGATTAACGAGTCTTAAAATGGATCGACAGCCAAAAATACTGTTTGCTTTGAAAATCGGTAAAAATTTCGACCAACCAGTCGATGATAATTTGATACTGACCCTTTCAGATGGTAAGGATTTAAAGCAGACGGCCAACCCATGGATTTATTGTGATGACAATATTACGATGGAGTTTCAGCATAATATGTCTCTTCAAGCACTTCTGGCGAGCTCAGCCCAACTTTTACATTATAATTTGAATGCACCGTGTTCTGATGGATGCTCTTGTTGCTTCAACCGCAGCACAGATTACTTCGCGATCAACTGTACGCATTCCGATATGCAATTGTATCCTGACCTTCCGCATTCCCTACCCTACAATGCCACTTTGCATCTCGATAAGAACAGAATTGCCAGCATTAAACCATCATTGGGTCACGCTTCCCTGAGAAAACTGTATTTGTTTGAGAACCAAATAGTGGACTTTCCATTCCACTTGATTCCCAAGAACATCACACATTTGGATCTTCGAAAAAACAAGCTGGAGGCTCTCGACGATCAGGTGGTCGATTTCTTCAGAGACCGTGAGGGAAGCACCAAGCGGAAGATCGAACTATCGGGGAATCCCTGGACATGCGACTGCAGAGCAAAGTCCTTCCTTTCATTTCTGAGGCAGAAGGAACCGCTGGAGTATATCGCCGCCCTGGATCGCTGTAATATCTTCCCTTCAGGAACGTGTCCGGAGGCCTGCATCTGCTGTTTGGATAATTCTACAGTGCCTTCATTGCTTATCGACTGCAAATCTAAAGGACTCAAAGCAATACCTTTATTACCCACGCTGATATCTGGAGAATCGACCCTTCACTTCGAAGGGAATTTTCTCGAATCATTGCCATCCAATTCCCTGCCCGGATATGCAAAGTTGGCACATCTATACCTGGCCAACAATCGACTAACTGAGATCGACCAACTTCCTGAGAACATAATAACTCTCGACATAAGAAACAATAGCATTTCGTTGCTGAACAAGCAGATGCGGGACTTCTTCGACAAGAGATTAGCCGCCAACTCGCAGCTGAAACTCCTACTCTCTGGGAATCCTTGGACTTGCACTTGCGAGGAGAAAGACTTCCTATTCTTTGTGAGAAGTTCGAAGTACATTGAAAATCTAAATGATATATACTGCGGTGGAACGGGAAAGGTCCTGAACCTAATGGATGAGAGCGATCTATGCCCTTCAGGCTTGGTGCACTATATGACTGTCGCCATTTCCTTCATGATAATAATCTCAACTATAAACTTGATTGTTTACTTCAAGCAGCCACTCCTGATCTGGTTCTACGAGCACAATGTATGTATGAGCCTCGCCGCCCAGCGGGAGTTCGAAAAACAGAAGAAGTTCGATGCGTTTCTATCATTCACCCACAAGGACGAGGAGCTCATCGAAGAGTTCGTGGAGAGACTGGAGAATGGCGCGTACAAGTTCCGACTCTGCTTCTATCTGCGCGACTGGCTCGTGGGGGTGCCCATTCCCGAGTGCATCAGCCAATCTGTGAAGGACTCGAAGCGCGTCATCATCCTGATGACGAACCACTTCCTGAAGTCGACTTGGGGGCGACTGGAGTTCCGCCTCGCTCTGCATGCCACCTCCCAGGACCGATGCAAGCGCCTCATTGTGGTCCTCTACCCCGAAGTGGAGAACTTTGATGATCTCGACAGCGAACTGCGCTCCTACATGGTGCTGAACACGTATCTCAAGCGAGATGACCCCAATTTCTGGAACAAGCTAGTATATTCTATGCCTCATATCAATGTGCAACAAGAACCTGATCCAGAGGCAATAGAGCTGTCTGTCATTAATCCCTTTTGAATTTGTATCTACAAAATTGTATCAAATAGAACATTTGCCATCTTATGAATATAAGTATGTTGGGCTCTCACAAATATTTGCATCCACTCTTTTCTCCCTCTATCTCTTTCAGTATGCACTCTCTCTGTCTCTCTCTGAACTGATTCCCTCTCACGAGTACAGCAATAGAATAGGCAAATGGCAAGAATAACGGCCAGTACCCACAGCCTGCAGAAGATAATACACTGAGCACAATTTAATCAACTAAACCAACTGATCAAAATACACTAAGAATCATATAACGATCCAATATATTTGTACAAGTAATCAGAACAAATGTGCTTCAATTAAAATTCACCTTTTCAAAAAATGTAATATCTAATAATATTATACTTATTTTATACCACATATTCTTTATCTTGATATAAACTGTTACAGTATATTTATCATATTTTTGTATTATTTGTACTAGAGTTTCCTCTAAATAAATCAGGAAGCGGGTTTCGTAAATTACATTCCCTTTTTCATATCTTTTTATCTTTCCGAGAGAGAAATATAAAATATTTACTTTCCTTATTAATAATAATAAATAATTTCCAACTCACTTTATTGAATAATTTCATTATTGGACTTTTTCTGGCCCTTTGTTAGACTTTCAGAAACATTCAAAATTAGAGGCTCAGAAATGTGCTTATTTTTCCCCACCCTCATCCGTGTACAGTATGTATAAGTGGATAAAATATAACCAGGAGACGCTGAGGACGTACAAAAAAATGCGTCAAGACAATTCACAGCAATTGCAATCGAACAAGAAACTGGTTGGTTGGCCATAAAGTTAGCTGTAATCGGTAATTGCGATAAATAAAGTAAGTGGCCAGCGAGACAGCGCACAGTGGAACTCTGAAGGAGGTGTTGAAGCAGCAAAAAGGGGTGGCGGGGAGGGGTTCTATGTTGTCCCCCCGATTCCAGAGTGTTGACAATTCTCGTCAATTACGTTGTAATGTCGTCGTCGTCGTCGTCATCGCAGTTCTGCCTTCGACGTTCCAGTTCCAGGCTTCCAGGCTTCCACTTGATGCATTGCTTGACACATTATGATGCTTGATTTGTTGTCATGGCAATTTTGCCACCATCCTGTCCATGCCTCAAATGGCATTTAGCCAATCTTCACCTCTGTCTCACTCTGTGGCATCCATCCACTGAGGCCTTTTGCCTCTTCTGTGTTATGTGAATTTTTCACTATGGACAAATGAGTTTGTCGCGGCCTTTTTGCGTTATAATTACAAAACGTTTTTGGTTTTTGTTTTGCACCACTCTCTGTGAACAGAAATAGTTAACAATGCTACAACATTGCTGGGCCTACCAGTTATTAATGGTTAAGTCTGCACATGTTGGCATTTATCGGGTTGTTCTTCTCTTCATATGGCAACGTTTTCTCTTGCAAAACTATCTCTTTCAGGAATTTCTAATGCTTTCAGAATGTAAATGAAAACTTCCATCAATGTGTTGGCTGATTTCCTTCAATAAATATAGTTTAAATGGCGTAAAAATAAGAACATTTATGAAGGGTATGGATTTTGGAGCACAATTAGTACCCAGATCTATATATATTTTCTAGGGATCTTAAGGGTTATTACTTTTGTGATAAATATAAAAAAAAAAACTTATTTCTGATTTGTATTAAAAGAGTTTTAAATTTAAATTAAAAAGTAAAAAAAAATTCCAATTTTTGATTAAATTATCTACAGAAAATTTATTTGCATAAAATATTGTTTAACCCCAGAGATGTACAAAAAACCAAATATAAAAAATTAAAAAAAGTTTTTATATTTTTAGATACAAATTTCAAATTAAAATAATGTTCAATTTAAATTATAATTTGTATTTTTTAACAAAAGCTCTTTTTTTAATTTAAAAATAAAATTATGCCTCCATTTAAAAAAAAACAAATTTAAAAAAAATTTTAAATTTTTTTGTATTAAACAATTTTTATATAATTTTAATATTTTTTTTTAAACAGTAATTTATTTTTTTTTATTATTATAACAAATTTAAAAATTTTTAAATAATTTTTTTAAGAAATTAATTATATCTTTGATGTCTTAAAAAGATACGAATATTATGGAGTCCGCGCAGAAGAATCTTAAGAACATTTCTGTTCTTCAACTTCGAGGCATTTAAAGTAGAGAATTTCGCAAATACCATGAATGACAATCTGTAGTTTCTATGCCACATTCAAACATTCAAACAAAATAGCTTAACAATTGACTAGAACTTGCCCGAAAACAGGAAGCTCATCGATTAATCAAACTGTCACCCGACAAACACTCGAGAGACACCAAACTCCTGACACAATGTTCACACTCAGATCAAGCGCTACTCGTATGCGAATGGCCATTCATATTGCTCAATCAAAACCATAAAAGAATAGCGTTTCGATGAAGGCAGAAACCAAAACGAATTTACATAAAAATTACGTTAATTGATTGTAAACTTGAATATATTTGAAATGAGCCGACAGCGCCAGAGGGTACATAATCATGGAGTTGGATAGCCACAGCCTAATCGCCCATAGCCTGGTGTAATTGTCTCCCATGGTGTCGAGCTCCAACAGCTCCATTGTACACCGATATATAGAAGCAAATTATGCACGCCGGCCTGATAGACTCTTTTTCACAAAACATCTTACCAGTCATTATAAGCAATTGTCATTAATGACATTTTGGCCGCCGCAATACTTAAGACATTATCGTGGAGAATACATCCCATATAGCGAGAGCAAAAAAAAAAAAAAAAAATCAAATTAAGTAGCATTTCCTGCCACTTGAGTGCGAGTCCGAGTCCGATACGGAGTCCGTTTTCCATGTGATCTTTTGGCGGCAACCAATAATTATATGCGCCATAAACGCTCTGTCATCTCTCTGTATCTCTCTGGGGTCTAGAAAATGCAGATTAATGCCAGCTTTGGTCTGGTCTGGTCTGGCCTGGCCTTTTGTCATGAGCATAATTTTCTCATCGATCTTGTGATTAATCATAAATTGTATGCCCGAGCCCCGGGACACATGTGTTTCATTAAAGTAACTGACTTTTTTATACACACATCCAACATATCGTTTTTTCTTTTTTCTTTTTCCTTTTCTTTCGATTTGTGTGGCGGCATGGCTCTTATGGATTAATTTAAGGCCTGTGGGGGCCTCCACGTTTGATTACACATCTGCTGGCATCAGCTACCAGTGTTCCACATTTGATCGATCTATCAATGATATGTGGGCCATTATAATGGAAATGAATTGTGTACGTACGAGTATCTGTGGAATATGAATAGAGGTTTCACAGCAGGTATTCTTTATATTCGGAGTCGCATTTTGTATTATATTTTGGAGGTTTGAAAAGTCATTCTATATTGATTATAGATTAAATTTTAAGTTAAGATAGAAAAAAGCGATGCCTCTCGAAATTTGTTGCAGTTTTTAAAGGAATTTAATTTAATAGATGTTGCATATAAGAAAGTTTTTTAGGGTCTAAAATGTTGAATAAAATACGAATAGAAAGGTTTCGATTTTTTTTTAATATTATATGGATTGTTTTTTTTATATTTTTTTTTTTTATTTGACGTTCAGTTATTGATAAAAATTATCAAATGAAAAATTATGTAAATTAGTTGGAATCTATTCATACAAAAGGGATGTTTAATGGGAAAATCTCTAGAGATTTGGCTAATTTAAAGAGAGAAATATTAGTATTTCTTATATACCATGACGATCCCAGCAAGGAGTTTTGTATAAAGATATTTGTTAGATCTTCTGATAATGGAATAATTTTTTTTTAAACTCCTAATTTCTTTTTTTAACTCCTCAATCCTCACTTGATCAATAAAACACACTATTTACAGGAAATCATCAAGAGGAAGCCCTGATATATGATATATATTTCTCATGTATAAACAAATACCACCTGTTCATATTCTACCCTCTTTAAAATTAGCCAAATCTCTACAGATTTGCCCATTCAACATCCCTTTTATAAGAATAGATTCCAACTAATTTACATAATTTTTCATTTGATCATTTTTATCAATAACTGAACCTCAATTAGGTCTCTCCTCTCCATTTTGAGCCAGAAAAGTGACAAACGAGGGAGAGTCCTGGCGTTGAATGTGTGAAGGATCTTTGGTACCTAATCAGTGGCCACCAGATCTGCTCACACACAATGGGCATACAATGTGATGTGTAGAGTATATCGGGTTACCTTCACCTTGTGTCTACATCGAATTTCACAGTTGTATGAACCTGAACCATGCCGATGACGATACGATACCGATTGTCAGAGATTAGTTGAACGAGAACGTCGGGGATAATGGAACAGACGACGCCCAGTGTACTCGTCACTCGTGGTGTATTGTATTGTTTTCAATGGAACTACCGGATTTTGTTGCGATGTTTATCTTAATTCGTTTGTTTTCATCAAATTACAAAATTGCGTGTGATAACAATCACCAGAGAGAGGGTCTGATCGGGTCTGATCGGGTCTGGTCGGGTCTGGTCTGGTCTAATCCCTGACAGACAGACAGGCATTCAGTTTCTTTTGAGAGCTGTCCATCATGGAATTAGATATTTATCATAAATGTGCAAGAACCCATGAAGGCTTCCTCCTCACACTCGAAATCCAATACACCCCGAGGTACGTATACAATGTATGGCCGGCCTCCGACCCCTAAGTGCCATTGTATTTGACTGTCTGTCAGATTTGCGCCCAAAGGTAGCGCCCCTGCCCTGCCCTACCCTCCGCTCTCTCCCTCTCTCTATCACTTGTTGTGAGAGCCATTGTGTTACATATTTTGTCAGTTGTCTACCAAGTGTATCTGCTCTGCTCATCTCTCCCTTCGGCTTATTTAATGCATAAACAATTATTTCCATCAGGATTTCACAAAAAGTCGACAAAAGCAAACAACAGCTGCTGCTGCCAGAAGAGTGGGAAACTGAGAGTCCTTTTTAGCTTCTTTCACAAACTGGATTCTCGTTTCGTTTCGTTTCGTTTCTGGATTTATATGTGCTATGTTGTGCCTAGCGATTA